CCAGTTCTACTCCTCCATCGTCTTCTAGAACTAGGGCTTCTTCTTCACATAGATCTTCCGCTAGAAATAGGGATTCTAGTGAACCGCTTCGTGAACCTACTGTCGACGAGATTATTCCTGCTGAACTTTCCTTTGTCACAGATAGAGAACTAATTAAAAATCAGGTTACTTCCATGACTTCTCACGATCACGCTGATGTTTATCCTTCCCAAATCACCGAGGGTTTAGTTTCTATTGTGCATAGAGATTGCTTTTGGAAATTTGACTTCCCGATTCTGGTCCCCAATGAGAATCAAAGGATCACTTCCTTTAAAGCTGATTTTTCTTTTGTGTATACATATCCCTTCACATTAGGTTTTAGACCACCTATTGATCCAGTTATTATTGAGTTTTGCCGTTTATTTGATCTGTGTTTAGGACAGATTAGTCCTATTGTATGGAGGGTTCTGGCATGCCTTAGATACTTGTCAAATATGGCTTTTTTACCCTTCACCTTTTACCATCTGATTCATCTTTACTCTCTCAAATTATTCCGTCATGGGTTTTTACCCTCGTGGCAAGAAGTAAGAGAGTTTTGGCTAGCCCTGAAGATGACAAAGATCGTGGCTGGTACGCCCGATTTGTTGTTGCTCCTACAAGTGGGTTAGTAGGTGAAAAAAACATGCCCTTCCCTGAGAAGTGGAACTTTGCACATAAGTTTCTCTTCCAATCTTTTATTTCTCTTTTTTTTGAAGAACTTGTACTCTTGTAACTGTTTTACTTTTCTTTTTCAGCAACCATGGGAACTATTGAGGAAATTTCTGATTTCCGTGGTTGGGTAGAAAAATTGTTAACAGTTGCTCCAATGGAAGAAAGGTCCTGGAAATACCTTTCAAATAGATTTGGATGGAAAGTTAAGACTCACGGTAACTTTTTCTTTCACTTTCTTCTTTATTTTCATGTTTATCTTGGAACTTATTAACCCTTTTCTTTATTAGGGTTTCCCATTCGGAGTGTGAGTGATGCATCAGTCTGCTTCGAGGCTCTCTCTATCAAAGGATCAAGAGATAATCTTGAGTTTCTCGTCAAAAAGAAAAGCTTATAGACCACAGAACTCTAACGACGAAGAGGAACGAGACGAAAGCTCGTTGGTTCGTAAGTCACGAGCTAGAAGATGGGTCATTTCAGATGATGAAGCTACTCCCCCTCCTAGTTCTGTTCCCATGCTCGAGCCTGAGGGTGCTATCTTAGTGACTTCTGATGAAGAGATGCCTGCAGCACCCTGTGACTCTACTGAACAACTCTTTTCTCGTAGATTTGATGAAGAAAGCTTTGGCTTTATTTCTGAGAAAATGCCTCTTGCCTCTTTTCCTGTGTCTACTCCAATTGAATCTCAGTTGCCCGTACCTGCTGCTACTGCCACTGCTCCGCCCGTGGCTATTTTGACTTCCTCGACTGCTCATAGTGCCACAACTTCCCATGCTGAAATTGGTTCCTCTAGTAGTAGTAGGGCGATGAAACAAGTTACCATCGAGATTCCTGCAAATGGTAATCTTTTGGAGAAATAAGGCCAAGCTGACGTATGGCTGAAACCACTGATTGGCCCAGTTGATAAGTCTAAACTGGAAAGTCACAGCTCTCTAACGTGGATGAATGATATTGTGCATTCATCTTTAAAGGTATAAACCTTGTATTTTTATTTTACATGATTTTTCTTTTACTAGTATCACATTCCTCTTTTCATTGTGTAGGTCAATCTCATCGGTACGGAGATGATGAAAAGGATTGTCCACACGAAGCAGTTGATGAATGATTATCATAATGAGGCAGACAATTGGAAATAGCAGTTCGAGGGTCTTCAACTTGAAATGGAGGTTTTAGAGGAAGAAAAGTGTACCTTAGAGAAGCAAGTAAAGCTTATGGCAACGGAACTAGCGATTGAGAAAGCCTCATCCAATCAAGCGGGCAAAGATAAGAATCTTCTTGAGTCTTCATTTACTGAGCAACTTTCCAAGGCTTCTGAAGAAATTAAGAGCTTAAAGGATTTGCTAAACCAAAAAGAAGCTTACTTTGGGGAGCTTGTTCAAATGCTCACACAAACTCAAGAAGATCTTTGTGTATCTTCAGACAACGTTAAATTTCTAGAGAGATATCTTTCCCCTCTACAGGCTTCTTACGATGCTGCCTTAAATGAGAAGGATGAATTAAGAGTTGAGGTTGAGCAATGGGAAAAAGACTATGAGGCCCTTGAAGATAAAGCCGTTGTTGATGTTAGTTGGGCTTTTTTAAACACTCGCCTTGAAACATTATTGGAAGTAGGCCAGGAAGGCTTTGACTTAGATGCTGAGATTGCAAATACTAGAGAGACGATTGGAAAGACCCAGCAGAGTCAAAACTTTTCTTCACCTGAGGTTGGTATTCCCGAAGGTGATGAAATCACTTCTGGTGAAGCTATTGCTCAACCTTCTCCTGCTCAAGTTGCTCTTCCTTCTGGTGATGATGCCACTCTCCATCCTACCGGTTCAATTTCTGCCCCACAATGAAAGTGAAAATGCTTGACGTTTTTCTTTGTTTTTTTATTGGTGGAACATTTGGAGGTTTACCCCTGGTCCCATTTGGGGGCAATGTTTTGGAAAATCTTACCCCTAGTCTGTTTTGGGTTTTTTTTTGTATAAGACAATCAGGTTGGAACTAAGTTCATACTTAACTTTAACCAAGTTATTAAAGTATCATCTTCTAAGTTTTTTGTTCAACTTCTATGATATTTTATTTCGAGTTTCTGTACTACTCTTTTATTATGCACTAAAACTGCTTCAGTATTTCGTGACTTTTTGAAACAAGCACGATTTATAAAAGAGGGCCCTTTTATGAACGACACTTAATGAAGAAGACGTCTTAACTTCATAATGGTGTAAACATACGAAAGAAGAAACAGAAACACACACGTTTCTTTGAATAACTTTGAGGAAAGTTTTATATCATTCGAACTTTTAAATTATATAATACTTTACATGTATTTAAGTATCATCTATAACTCTTTCGTAACTGTTTTCTTTACAATATATTTGTAAAAAATTCAAGGGTATATCTTGCAACCCGTGATTAAATATTGCCTTTAACCTAAACATTTGTAAGATTTTGAAGTTTACATCCACGAGTGTATTCTTCATAGGTTTTTGAATCAGGCTTGCGTTTTTGGCTCGTGACTTTGCTCTTAACTTTTGATTTGACCTTAGGCTTGACTTGAATTCTGATTTTTCCAGTCTTCTTTGCCTTCCTTATATATATATATATAGTCCCCAAGTGTTTGAGCTTTGAAGTATGAAATCTCGAGCACTTGATTATTCTTTCCATGTGGTCCTTTTCCTGAAAAAGGAAAACGTACGGGACTCGGAGGTATATATAATTTAGATGATGACTGCTTAACCCTTTATATTTCCATTAGAAAGGTTGTAACCCTAGACCGGGAATTATGTTACTTCCGCATGTCTTTCAAGTCTAATATCATCATTTGGTGTGGGCTAGCTTTTTGCCTATCATCTAAAATTAGTATAATTTTAACTGTACAAAATAAAAATCGTAATTGAGCGATACCTGACCGTGGGTATTTCTTTTGCTTTGAAATAGTATTTCTTCAAATGAACAGCATTCCAACTCGATGGTAGAACCTTGCTATCCATGGTTTCTAACTCGTAGGCTCCTTTTTCCAGCGATACCTCAAACTTTATAAGGTCCTTCCCAATTTGGATTTAACTTTCCTGCTCGGGTTGTTTTCGCTGATTGGAAAACCTCTTTAAGAATGAAGTCCCCAATTTTGAAGTACCTGAGGTGAGCCTTTCTGTTGTAGTATCGTTCTACGATTTGCTTTTGTGCTACCATCCGTATTAAAGCTGCTTCTCTTTTCTGTTCGAGTAAGTCTAAGTTTGTTCTTAACTCCTAATCATTTGATTCTTCCGTTGCCAATGTGAATCTTGTGCTAGGATCTCCAATTTCAACTGGGATCAAAGCTTCCGAACCATATACAAGTGAAAATGGTGTTTCTCCCGTGGCTGTTTTTGTTGTGGTTCTATAAGCCCATAACACTCCCAGTAATTCCTTAGGCCAATTCCCTTTTGATTTTTCTAATCTCTTCTTCAAATTACTGATGATAATCTTATTTGTTGACTCAGCTTGTCCATTTGCCACGGGATGGCAAGGTAAAGAGGTTTTTCGTTTGATTTGCCAACTTTGAAAGAACTTTGTGATTTTCGAGCCTATAAATTGTGGGCCATTATCACATACAATTTCCTTTGGAACTCCAAACCGGCATATAATGTTTCGCCAAATAAAATCTTTTACCTCCTTTTCTCGTACCTCTTTGAATGCTCCTGCCTCTACCCATTTTGAAAAGTAATCTGTTAACACTAATAGAAACCGTACCTTTCCTTTAGCTTGTGGTAAAGGCCCTACTATATCCATTTCCCATTTCATAAATGGCCAATGGGAAATAACTATATGTAATTACTCTGCAGGTCGATGCATATAGTTGGCATATCGTTGACATTTATCACACTCGACTACAAAATTTTCTGCATCCTCTTCCATTTTCGGCCAGTAGTATCCTACCCCGATTTGTGTTTTAACTAAAGATCTTCCGCCCGCGTGATTTCCGCAATGTCCTTCATGTACTTCTCTCATTACGTACTCCGTTTGATTGGGTCCAAGGCATCTTGCTAAAGGACCTCCAAACATTTTTCGATATAAATTATCTCGAATTAAGTAGTAACGAGCAGCTTTTCGTCAAAGCACTTGAGATTCTTTCTTGCCTTCAGGTACGATCCCGTATTACAAAAAATTAACAATCTCGTTTCTCCAATCCAGGTTAAATTATTAAAGCTTACCTCATGTTTATCCTGGTCAAGTTCTGAATGAAATAAATGTATTACAATAGCATTTTCTTCACTCGTTACTTCTGCAACTGAAGCAAGATTAGCCAACGCGTCTGCTTCTGCGTTTTCTTCCCTGGGTATTTGCATGATCTTCTATGACTGGAATTGCCTGACCAGTTTTCGTGCCTTTTCCAAGTATTGTTGCATTCGTGCCTCCCTAGCAGTGTAGGTCCCCTGCATCTGATTGACTACTAGTTGAGAGTCACTTTTAATCACGATTTGTTCTATGGAGAGTTCTCGTGCTAATTCCAAACCTGTAATTACAGCTTCAAATTCTGCTTCATTGTTAGTAATAGGGTAACACTTAATTACTTGTCTTATACTTTCACATGAAGGTGGGATTAAGACAATACCCAAACCGTCCCCTTTGACGTTTGAAGAGCCATCAGTAAATAAAGTCCAGTACCTGGATTAGCTCCAGTAAAAATTTGTAATTCCTTTTCTACTTCAGGAATTATTTTTGTACTAAAATCTGCGACAAAATCTGATAAAACTTGAGACTTTATCATTGTTCTAGGTTGATAAATAATGTTATATCACTTAGTTCTATTGCCCACTTGGCTAATCTGCCTGACAATTCTTGTTTATGTAAAATATTCCTTAAAGGATATGAAGATATTACGGAGATAGGATGACATTGAAAATATGGTCTCAATTTCCTAACTGCCATCATCAACGCTAAAGCAAGTTTATCTAGATGCGGATATCTAGTTTCAGTATCTACTAAAGTTTTACTAACATAATAAATAGGAGATTGTTTACCTTTGTCCTCCCTTACTAAAGCTGCACTTACAACTACTTCTGCAACTGCAAGGTATACAAATAGTCTTTCTTCATCACATGGTTTAGACAGTAGGGGAGGATTTAATAAATATGCCTTCAAATCTTTGAGGGCTTGTCGGCATTCTTCAGTCCATTCGAACTGATTTTGCTTCTTCAATCCTACTTGTCAATCTTTGTACCTCTTTTTTACTTGTGAGTATATCAGGTATTTATTCAATGGCTTCAATCTGTACTGGATTTACTTCAATTCCTCCGTTAGAAACTAGGAAGCCTAAAAACTTACCTGAAGACACGCCAAATGCATATTTTTCGGGATTTAAATTCATATTGAATTTGCGGAGAATTTGAAAAGTATCTGACAAATGTTGGATGTGATCCCCCGCCCGTGTTGACTTGACTAACATGTCATCAATGTAGACTTCCATGGTTTTTCGCAGATGTTCTTGAAACATCTGTGTTACTAACCTCTGGTACGTGGCCCCGACATTCTTTAGACCGAAAGGCTTGACTTTATAATATTAAGTCCCACTATCTGTAATAAAAGAAGCTTTTTCCTCATCTGAAGGATCCATTTTTATTTGATTATATCCTGAATAAGCATCTAAAAAACTCAACAATTCGTGCCCTGCAGTAGCATCAATTAGTTGATATATGTGTGGTAGAGGAAATGAATCTTTAGGTCAAGCTTTATTTAAGTCAGTATAGTTTACAGAAACTTGCCACCTACCAATATTTTTGGGTACCACAGCAGTATTAGCTAGCCAATTAGGATATTTTACCTCACGGATAGACCCGATTTTTAAAAGCTTTTGTACCTCATCCTGAATTACCTGGTTTTTGAAGGATCCTTGCTTCCTCTTCTTCTGTTTGATAGGTGGATATGTTGGATCTTCATTCAGCTTATGGGTCATCACCTCCGATAGCATACATGTCATATCTGAATGTGACCAAGCAAAGCAATCTGCGTTAGCTTTTAAAAATTAAATTAACTTACTTTTCATCTCTAGGCTCAAGTTAGTTCCGATGTAACTTTTCTGTCCGACCAATGTATAAACAGCACCACTGCTTCGAGTTCCTCAATTGTTGTTTTGACGTTTTCATTCTCTTCTGGCTCTTGAATAGTATCAGGCCTCGAGTCTACATCCGTTTGTCCATCTTCAATTGAGGTTTGAATTGTTAAACCCTCAACTAAATTCTGTAGTTGCTATTTTTCATCTGCAACGTCATTTTGTATGCTTGAATCTACCATTGAATTGATACTTCTGGAAGCCTGTTGATCAACACGGATTTGCTTAATTCCCCATTGCGAAGGGAACTTAATAACCTAATGTAAAGTAGACGGAACAACATCCATTTTGTGAATCCAGGGTCTGCCGAGGATTACATTATACACCATGTCCATATCTATCACTTGAAATTTCGTATCTTTGACTACTTCTTCTGCGAATGTGGTGAGTATTATCTCCCCTTTTGTAATAACGCTTGAATTGTCAAATCCAGATAAGGTACGTGCTTTGGGTACCAATTTATCATCAGCTTGCATCTCGTTTACCACTCTTAAAAGAATGATATTTACATAGCTACCTGGATCAATCAAAACTCGTTTCACTTTAGTATCATGTACAAGTAGAGAAATTACCAGTGCATCATTATGTGGGATTAACGCGCTATCTACGTTTGCATCATCAAATGTTATACTGTCTTCTTCCAAAACTTGGCAAACTCGTTTTCTGTGGGTGACTGTGATTTTTGACACCTTTTCTCCACCTGTATAGGTCACGCCATTGACCTCGTCCCCTCCGCTTATGACATTAACCGTTCTCTTTTGTTACGGAGGTTTTGGTGGCTCCTGCCTATTCTTCATATATGCTTGCTTACCCTTCTCACTAAACAAATCGGTTAAGTAGCCTTGTTTTAATAAGTGCTCTACTTCACCTTGTAGCAATCTACAATCTGTTGTTTTGTGACCATGATCATTATGAAACTCGCACCAGAAATTAGGGTTTCTTCTATTTGGGTTTGATCTCATTTCCTTTGGCCACCGCACCTTATCTCCCATGCTTCTTAAAACAGCTACCAACTTAGATGTGCTAACATTAAAACTGTAATCACCAATCTTCGCTTTTGAACCTCTGTCGTTGTCCCACGTATCTCGCGTGTCTCGCTCCTTTCGAAACTTGGATGACGAACCCAAATCTCCGTCCCTTGATCTGGAACCCTACCTTGGGTTCTCCTGTTTAGATCGTGAATCCCTACCTGCTGGTCTTATGTATGGCTGGTACCTGTTCTTACTGGACCTTTTTTCAGTTTCAGGTCGTCTCGAACTTACTCTTTCATCTCCCCGTGACTGAGTGATAGTACCTTCCTCTATCCGCAGCTTTGTGATATACCTGTTGTAAACATCATTCCAAGTTGTTGCAAGGAATTCTTGTAAGCTTTCTTTGAGTCTCCTCGTGGCTTCTGAGATTTTTCATTTAGATACTTGCAAATGCCATAACCGCCCAATTGTCAGGCACACATGGCAACAACATTCTTTCATGCTGGAATATATCCACGGATTCCCTGAGTAGCTCCGTATCTCCTTGTTTTATTTTGAAGATGTCTTCCACCCTCTTTTCAACTTTTTGAGCTCCCGAGTGTGCTTTTCTAAATGAATCTGCAAGCTCAGCAAAAGAATTAATAGAATTTTCAGGTAAAAGAGAATACCATGTTAGTGATCCTTTTGTGAGTGTTTTCCCGAATTTTTTGACCACACTGATTCAATATCTTTCTTGGTCAAGTCGTTGCCCTTCACGCCAGTTGTAAATGCAGTTACATGATCTCGTGATCGGTTGTCCCATCATACTTCGAGATATCGGGCATCTTAAACTTTTTTGGAATAGGCAAAGGAGCGGCACTTGGCTTCCAGGGTTATTGAGAATATTTATCCATATCCATTCCTTTGATTATAGGTGGAACACTAGGTATCTGCTCTATGCAATCGTTCTGCTCCTTGAGCTGTTCTGCAAAGTTAGTACTAAACTTTGTAAATCAAAATTAATTTGAATACCTGACCTTCCATCACGAGATTCGCTAGGAGTTCCTCCACTGCCCGAATTTGTGAGTCCCGAGCGTGGATTTTATATGGTTGCGGTGTTATTCGAAGGTAGAATTGGTGGTACAGTTGGTAACCCACTAACAAAAGCTTGAAGAGCATTGTTGACTTGTTCTTCGATTAATTGCTTCAATGCTTCATCAATAGCTTGATCATCCCCATGCTGGTCATTCGCATATGATATAGATCTGTCAGGTGACCCTTCTCGGGATTGTTGAGGAGATCTTCGCGGTAAAGGGACTGGAGTTCCATCCTCTTGTTGATTTTGCTGGTTCAACTGGTGTTGCTGATTTTGTTGGTTGTTGTCGTTAGCAGTCGACATCATTTTTTGATAGAAAAAAGAATTTGGAAAGTGAATAGATTATCAGGTTCCCGGTAACGGAACCAAATTTTTTAACCAAAAGATAGGAATTTCGATCAAAGCTTGTTTTTAGAAGTACTCGGGCTACTGATAATCAAGAAAATGAATATTCTCGTAATAAGAAAGGAAATTAGAATATGAAATAGCAAAGTAATAGAAAGCAAAAGAAAGTAATTATATTCCAATAATAATCAGAATGTGTCCACACAAATGACATTTCTTTCCCTTATATAGTGATCTCCAAGTACAACGTCTTTTCCCTTTTATGACCGAGTCATTATGAGCATTAATGACATTAATGAAAAGTTATAATTGGTAATCGTAACTATTTTGTGAAGATTATGTAACGTTTGTAATCATCCATGCTCATTAATTGAAGACCAATGAATCCACCCTTTTTACTGTCTTGGTTCATTCCACTAGTGCCTCTTCAAATCGCTAAAGAGGCTCGAGCAACCGATTCTTCTCATCTCGTGGGTGTTTTGCTCGTATCTATTAAGACTCACGTCTTTTTTAATGCACTTCTCCATCTGTCTCTTTTCTAGTGATCCACGTGTCTTGCCATGTCAACCACATAATTAATTCCACGTGTAATATTCATTTTCTCCAATATACTGTTGTTATTCGATCAGTATGATGTTTTTGTTTACCCTTAAAATGGATGACAATTAAATTTGTAAGCGGTTTTAAGAATATGTGGATTGATTCAATACAAGTAATCAAGAATGTTAGATAAATGAACCAAAGATAAAATAAATAACCGAACTAGTTGTGACGTTAAGTCCAGGCTCGGATTTAAGCATAACAATAGTTTTGCCCTCGACCGGACCCTCGATTCGGAGCCAAATATGTATGAAGAACTATGATTAAAATAAGAATTTTTCAATAGCTAGAAAGCAGAGAAATAAGTTTGTGCTGCCTTGATATACGTGTTACACTATGTATTGAATGAAAAAGCTTCCCCATTATATAGTAGGAGAGTTTCATCCCTAGCACAACTCTAAAAAAGAAAAAAAAATCCCCCTTTCTTGTCAATTATTGATATGCTACCGACGTCGGGCGAGATTCGCGCCATGATATCCGGTTGGGTGCGGATATCAAGGCTTTCTTGTTAGTCGTGTGCAACCGTTCGCAGCACTTTCTGAGGTTTAGGAGCTCACTTTGGGTCCGGGGGATGTTGTCTTGCCAGGCCCGGTGGCGAGCACTCCGTTCGGCCCCTGGTAGGAGAAGTCCCTGGCTGATCCCATGCAGTCATATCTTCGCTTCGTTTGACCCACCAGGAAATCGGGATATATGTTACCCTCAGTTTTACCCGTATACAGATGGTCTCCTCGTTTCTGAGAGAGTGGGTTTGCCGAACCGGTGGGAAAGGATAAATGTTCCTCGGTTCCTTCCTTCGTACATTACAACCGAGACGACGAAGGAGCCAAAACATCCTATCTGCCACATCGTTCTTACTTCAAACACGTGACAACCATCGGCTGGTTACCTCCAAATGTTAAACATCGCGTAATGATTACGTTTTCTCCTACAAAAGATTCGACTTTTTGTACCTTTTCTACTTTTCGATCTTAGCTCTTATCTTCGAATTCCCTAGCAGCTTCCAACTCATTTAAATCTTCATCTTTTTTCCTCTAACCTTCAAATCTTCATAATTGTTCATAAGTTTCTATCCAGATCCTACCTTCAAACCTTCATACATATTCTTGGATTTTCAACCCAGAAACTCATATCTTCACTCTCAAACTTCAAATATTCATAAACTCTTTCCAAATCTTCACATATTTTTCAGCTTTACGATGGCCAACACTTCCAAATCAGTTTCTCAGCAGGTTGCTTCTTCATCTTCTCACCCGGCCACAGGTACCCAGGCAGTCGTTCCCGAAGTGGTTGTTCTCGAGACGGCTGCTCCTGATGCAGTTGCTCCCGAAGTGGCTGCCACTGAATCAGCCCTAGAGCCCCCATATAAAATTTTTTATTCTCGGGGGCTATTCGATCTTACAATACTTCAAAGTCGAGAAGGCCTCATCCAAACAAGACCAAGATGAAGGGGCATCGAGGTATATATGCTTTGTCACCGAAGATACCCTTCCCATTATCCGAGAGGAATATAACTGGGAGGTAAGGATGTGATAATTGAGCCTGAGAACGATATCACAACTCATGTGGAGGGGTATTTAAATGTTTACACTTATCCATTCACACTAGTCCCGGTAGACTCAGTTATTTGGGACTTCTGCAAGAGATACGAGATGTGCCTTAGGAAAATCCACTCGTCTCTTTGGAGGATCGTGATCCTCCTACGTTACTTTGTGAATAACACCGAGTCTCCTCGGTTCCCTCTCGGCCACCTGCTCTATCTATACAGTCCCCGAATTTTCGCGCAGGGCGGGGGAGGGGGGAGGGGAGAGGGGGACTAATGAAGCTCACTCGCCGGGCTAGCAAAGCCCCTTCTTCGAGCATTGACGAGGATCGAGACCAACGCTGGTAGAGTCACTTCGTTCGTGACGACTGAATTTTTGATCCCTCCCGAGTTTCTACCATTCCCCGAGAAGAGGAATGCATCTCGTAAGTGTACTCTTTCCTTAAGTGTCGATTTTTCTTTGTTCCCTTTCTCACCGTCAGTATTTGTGATCGTGCAGTTGTTGCCCGGGTTTCCAATGCGGTCCTCCGATTCAAGGAGTGGACCGAAGGTATCTATAAGAAAATGTCATATTTTGAGTGATCGTGGCACAAACTTTCGAAGGGCCGATGGGAGGCCCGTTCACATGGTAAGGCTTTTCTTAGAATAGTTACTATTACGCCCCGAACATACATAACGCTGACCCTTTCTCTTTCCTTCTCAAGTTTTCCTAACACCACTAAACTTAGGCCGTTTAAAGGGGGCGAGGATGCGTCCCTATCCGTTAATCCCTCCATTACGGGACAAGCGGGGGCTGCCGTGGAGGAGAAGAAGAAGAGGAAAAGAAAGTCTTTGGGCTCCTCGGGTCCTGAGGTGAAGCCAAAGAAGAGGGCGACTTCCCGGGCTCGTAAAACCCAAGAAGAGCACCGACTCGGGGTGTCAGATTCTGACTCACTTTTCCGGCTTAGGGATGAGTCTAAAGAAGATGAACTTTTCATTGCTCATGGGTCGACCCTTGCCGTAGAGCAGGCGGTAGCCAGGGAGAAGAACCATGAGGCCGACCTCCCTCCGACTCGAGAGGTCGAGACAGAGGTGGGGGCTGAGACCTCCAGAGAATTCGCTTCGGAGGCGACCGGTATAATAAACATCATGAAGATGCCCTCCTACACGGATTACATTCTTGAGGAGGCCCAAGCAAGAAAAGAGAAGTCAAGTGAAGGGGCTCATGGAACGGACAACCCTCTTCACTCCTTCTTCGATGGCGTGGACTCGACCACTTTGGAAGACTTTTCCGGGCTGGGCGACCTGGAGATTCCGAAGAAAGACGTGTCTTCGGAAACTGGTGGGCCATTTTCGAGACCAAAATTGGTGAAGCAGTTTCCTGCTTCAAGTGTGGACCCTGGCCGTAAGAGAACAGTCATTCTTACGATCCTTGAGGATGCTCGAGTTCTGTTTGATCCGGTGGGCACAGCCAGCTACCTTCGATGCGTGGTGACCGAGGAGGACCAGTAAAAGATGAATGAGGTGGGCACGTTGTATCTCTTCAAAGAGGCGCAACAGGCATTGAACCGGTTAAGGCATCAATACTCCCTCTCGAATTCTACTTAGTTTCTGCTATCTCTTACTATTTTCATTGTTTTGCAGGCCTCGATACTTCACCATGAGAGCTTCCTCCGGTATCACTTTGAAATCAACTAGCTCGAGTTTGAGCTTAAGGAGCAGGCCCGATAAGAGGACATGTTCAAGTTTTCAGTGAGCAACAGGACGGGGTCATCAAGGACCTACAGGTCGAGCTGCACAGGGCTCAGAAGGAAGCTTCAACCCTGAGGCAGGAACATGCCGACCTGGTCAAAAAGGTAAAGGTCTTTGAAGTAAAAAATGAGGAGCTAGTCGTGGTGGCCAACGATAAAACCTCGCAGGTCCAACAGAAGATCGAGCTGATCGACCAACCCTGAATCGAGGTGAACGAGGTCTAAGCCATGGTCGATGGGTGAAAGACCAAAATAGACCTGCTAGCTTCGGAGAAGGATACTGCCAATGCGAAGCTGGCATTGGTAGATGTCCAACTCCGGGTGGCGAAGGAGAAAGCTGACAAGTGGTCTCAGCTAAATGACGTCCTCCAAGAACAGTTGAGCTCAGCTGTCATGGAGCGGGACACCCTCGGTAGAGAATACGAGGTAGTAAAGTCCAAGTTGGATACAATCTCCACCGATGCTGATGAAATGGTGGCTCAATACAAGGCTGATGTGGAGGCAGCTGAAGTCCATCTGAAGGCAATGGCCGAATATATGAAGTAGTTATCCCGAAGAGAGGCCCTCGAAGAGATCCACGCCCGAGGTTTTGGCCTGTCGGCTGAGATCGAAGAAGCCAAAACATCCAACGTCGAGGCGAAGAAGCTTTACGAGCCCAAAGGTGCCGAAAGCTCTGAGAGATCCGAGGGTTCGGAGGGATCCGAAGGTTCCGACGGCTCTAACGAAGAGTCGGGCCCTGGCGAAGATTAGGCGTAGATGCCTTAGTAATTTTTTTAGTTTTTTGTACATTTTTTATTTATTTTGAGGCCGTTTCTATTGGGATTTTGTAAGTATATTTCGGAATATATATAAAATTTTCCCTTTCTAGAAATTTCAATTCTTTACTTTTTCAGCATCTCTTCAGAATTTTCATTCTTTCAATGTTTCTAATGCCTTAACATAGAATCAAATATAGTTATAGGGCATCTGATTTTTAGAGGTCCGAACGAAGACTGACTTCTATACAACTTTGTTTGCTCGAGGCTTTGAAAACTCGATGTGACCGGAAGTTTTTTCAAGATGCTTAAGTGATTTTAGATGATGCTTTT